GTGACATTATGCCTGAAATCACTCCTGGCTTTATGAGATACCGTTAGGAAAGCGCACGCAACTCTATGTGCACTTAGCCCAAAATAAGGATTTAGCTGGTTTCGCATATGCTTTCTGCGTTAGCCCACGACTCACTATTCACTGTGCCACTTTAACCAGTAATAGTCTTCGACTCTGACTTGTTCCGCCTGTGTTAGCCATTATTCGGCTTAGGGCCGTGTTGTAACAATTATTATGCCCCAGTATTAAACATATGGATGTGACGTAACTCTGTAAATGTGGAGGCTTCCAGTTTCTTAATACTGGAAATTAGCACTGCTGGTGCCCTCAATGGCTTTGTCTGCTATTTTCATAACTTATTTAACTGCGTCAATGATCGAACGTCTTCTACGAAAATGTATTGCTTTTGAAAAAACCTATCTACTTCTTCTAGAAGATTCTACTTTCGTTGTTTGTACCAATAGTATCGAATATACAGAGGGGCCTGTACGAACTTGGATCTCCTGGCGGTTTATTTGGTTTTGATAGCAGAACCCAGTGTTGTCTTTTCCATATATTTGGAAAAATTCCATCCCTCAGGCACTTATTGAACAAGTCAGTGAATATTTAGGTTTGAATTTGAAAGCAGTCATTAACGCCCTATTTGGAATGCCGTCCAAACTTTTGTATTACCGAAACGTTTGGCTGCTCGTACTACCTCATTGTCATCCACTAGCTGAAAACGGTGGGTTCTAAGCTATTCCTTTGCTTGTGTTTGTTGTTTCGGAAACAAGGTTTCTACTACTTTCTTAAATAGTAGGGCTGGTCAGAATTTATCATTTTCACCTCTAACTTTTGTCATTACCGCTTCAGATTTCCTTAAAGCATGCAGCTTTGCTTTTCCTTATTGCTCACGTAGTCGCTCATATTCCACGTTTCTTCTACTTTGATATTTCTGTCGTACTTTGTGGCAGCTCCTTCTCAAAATACCAATTTCGGTATTCCTCTAATATACTGGCTTTCGGCGATGGTGGTTCTTTTTACTTACCAAAGCTGCATCGCAGGCTCTACTAACATGAATATGATGATAGTTTTGCTTGCCCATTCGCGTTATTTGAGTTTCTTAATTTTTTGTCCTTCATAATCTTAAATAAGTCTTCATCTATTGATTCGTCTTTCAATCCTCAGACGTCAAGTGTCTATTATTATTACTTGGTGGTGACTATGCGAGTATATATCACATACTCCGTCTTTTCTGCTAGGGACCTACGGAAAAAACGCAATGTCAATAATGCAGCCATAGCCATTTTTTCAAATGTATTCATGGTCAACTACCGAGAATATTTCGAGCAAAAAACGTTCGTCTCGCTTCTTTCCATTCCAAAGACCCAGGCGTGTTGTTTGGGCATTTCTAACGTCAAGGATTTTTGCATTTATCGATTCTAGCGATAAACTTGGTAGCACGTAGCAACTACAGATGTTGACACCACAAACCTTTGCACTAACATAGGACACTCTATCAGTCAGTGTTCTATCCGCCGTGTTCCAGCATAAGCTATTTTGATATTTTTCATCGTATTTGCTCAGCATTGAGTTTTTTTTTTTTKTTTAGCTGTGAAAGAACTGCTTGAACTATATCGTTCTTTGTAGTCATATCCCGAATTTCTATTGATTTTGCATGCCTTACAACTTTTATTTCTACCTTGTTGCCTAGATCTTAACTTTTGTTTTCTTTGTATTCATTACATTTTACTTTTGCTGTTTTTCTAATGCGCGACCCATCTTCGCCCAAATTTTGAAGAGTTCCCTCTTTTTTCACCTCTCTATAAGGCATTTCCCAGTTTTCATGATTTCCAGCGCATCTGGGGCATGCCTTTGCTGCTGGCAGTCGTGCAATTTAATCCTTTGACAATTCTTTTATTTTATTATTGGATTATTCCTTCATTTCTGCTTTTCCTCACCCCCAACTCATCGAATGTATTCCTCTTTTTCGGTGGGRTTTTCCGATTGGATTGTTTTTTGTCACGCATTCTTCTGGGTGTCGTATCTGTCGTGATTTTAACAAGATTAGCTGTTCGATCCGCTATCTTAGAACTTGTATTTTGCTCATGTGTCCGTGAAAGAAACCCAGAAATAGCATTTATAAGCTCTTCCATGCCAATATTTATTGAACTTTGAGGTGGACGCATGAGACTTGTGAGTTTATTAATGGTATCTCCTATCTTCGCCATATAGTTCCATATAGTCATATAGTTCTTACCAGTTTGCATACTTTTTAYTGGAGGTGTGCTATCTAGTTGTAGCGAAAGCGGCGACTACCTGGCCCGTACAGGTCTTTCTATGGAACGAACCTTTTTTGGCTTTCGACCTTACTTTCACCCTCGTTTGTTGGAGTCTATTATTGCGCTATCAACCATATTGGTAGCATTATCTTATACGCTGACCTAGTGGACTACCACCATGTCATTGCAGTCATTGGATATCGACGGCCGGCAGCCTGATTGCTCTCCTCTTACAACTGCAGGCACTGGGCTCCATACACCCTGCACCGTAACTTTCACACTTTTAGTATTCGCAGACATGTTTTATTTGCTCCGGGACCGTACCCGTACCATTTTATTTATACTAGTCTAGCCGCTCATCGTCTGCCGGTAAGTCGCTCACTATGACTCAGACGCTTCCCGAATTTAGTTAATTTGATATTTAGTTATGGGTGATGTCGACTCAACCCATCACAGAGACTTCGTCAGGAAGATATAGCTTTTTAGGTTACACCTTCATCTCTGCTCCTATGATGCTTTTGTTGCTGACTTACTTGCACATATGGAGGAGGAGGAATGATGCGGCGAAAGTCAGAACGTTTGAAAACCGGAGCATATTCTTGTAGAATCTCCAAAGATGATCCAGCGACTAATGCCCAGAGAATACTAGAGGGAAGGAGGGAACACTTCTACAGCCTTAAAAAACTAGCAGATTTAATTGTATCCAATATATTGTGGAGCACACACTACTGCTTTAATTAAAATAAAAAACACTTTGGTTTTATAACAACTTTATTTATAAAATAAATTTATATTTTATGTCGAACGAATTGTGTCGAATGTTGATGGGCGCAGTGTATGTGGCGAATTGAGCCAGCTTCCCCGTTGTCCATTCCTTTTGTTGGTTGGGTCGGTGTGTAGGTGTAGTGAGTTATATTGGTGTTGTGTTGCAGTAGCATCCTGTGGTGAATTGAGCTATTTTATTAGGATGCGCCAGTTTTAGCGGATAGACTCAATTTAAACTTTGCCTTTTCTGCGGCTTATCGGCTTATAAAGGATAGTAACTCCACGCCTGGCTTAGATGTG